AGATCCCCTGGAACTGGAGTTACAGTTGGTTGTGAGCCACCGTGTAGATCCTTAGGTCCTCTGCAAGAGCAGCCAGTACTCTTAACCACTGAGCCGTCTCTCTCATGTCCTGCCCTCTGCTATTCCTTTTTTAAATTAGTTTTTTTAGATTATTTATTTATTTATTCATTCATTTATTCATTTATTTATTATTTACACAGTGTTCTGCCTACATGTCTGCCTGCAGGCCAGAAGAGGTCACCAGATCTCATTATAGATGGTTGTGAGCCGCTATGTGGTTGCTGGGAATTGAACTCAGGACCTTTGGACCTCTGAGTCATCTCTCCAGCCCCATTCTGCTCTTCTTATAGCCCGTAGTCCTTATTAAGACCTCACCTTTAAGAATTTAGTCAGCCTAAATTTTCTCTTAAGGATTTTCTCTGCACCACACCTCAGGGGGTTGATACAGGAAGATCACAAATTCAGGGCCAAACAGGGCAGCTGAGTAAATACAAGACTAGCCTAAGAAACTTAGTAAGACTCTTGTCTCAAAAGAAAAAGGAAAGAAAGAAAGAAAGAAAGAAAGGAGGGAGAGAGGAAGGGAGGGAGAGAGGGAGGGGAAGAGGGAGAGAGAGAAAGAAAGCAAAAGAGAGAGAGAGAGAGGGAGAGAGAAAGAAAGAAAAAGAAAGAATGAAAGAAAGAAAGAAAGAAAGAAAGAAAGAAAGAAAGAAAGAAAGAAAGAAAGAAAGAAAGAAAGAAAGAAAGAAGGAAAGAAGGAAAGAAAGAAAGAGAAAAGAGAAAAAAGTGCTGTGGGTATTATTTAGTGGTAGAACACTTGCCTAGGTTCAATACCCATAACTACAAAAACAGGAAAAAGAGAAAAAGAAAAAGAAAAAGAAAGCGACTCTTGTGCCCACATTGGGTGTCAGGGCTTCAGCATATGAGTTGGGGAAAGGGAAGCACAATTCAATCCAGAATATGTCCAGAGTAGAAATATTATGGGAAGCCCTAGAACTCCGGAATGGCCCACTAGAAATACAACAGGCCATTATCAAAGGCAGATCCAGGAACATGGTTCCAAGGGGAGCAGAACAAAATAGTTGGACCAAAAGAAATGCTCTCACCTGTCTGTGTGTGAACAAAGGTCAGAGTGGCCACAGGCACATTAAGTCTTTCTAGACTAGAAAACCCAAGTCATGGGTTAGGTTTCAAACTCCCAGACACAGCACGTCAGAGAGGTAAGCTGTTCTTATCTGAGTGTAAACACTGCACAGCTCGGCTGTCAATCCTCCAGGGTCAGGAAGACCTGTCTGCTGTCAATGTTTATGTTTTTTATGCACCAGCTAAAAAGGGGACACCTGGCTATTTCAAGAACTGGTTTTAAGAAATGCACTGATTCAACAAATAGCCAATAATACCCACCTGGCAAACTTGTGTGTGATAACTCTAACCCTAAAAGTGTGCAGAAAAACAGAAATAAAATTACAAATGTTTAGTTAAAATTACCCCACGTAAAATCTGAAAAACCTTTAGCAATATCACTAATCACTCCTTATTTCTGTTTTCGGGGGTCTCTCTCTACTACATTATAACTGGAAAACACAAACAGAGGTTACTTGAGCTAAACATAGTTTATGTGGGAGCTTTCCTTGTAACATATAATTGGATTCTAGATTGCATTGGTTTGAATATAAAGGTGTCGGAAGGGCAAGTGAGAGTTGAAAACTGTGTCATATACAGAACTTTATCACAAGTTATTTCAGAGCAAATGAGTTATAAAGCTCTTGTGCAGTGAATACTAACCAATCACTGCATCTTGTGCAGTGAATACTAACCAATCACTGCATCTTGCCACACCTTACAAGTGTCATTGCCAGGGGTTACAATTTCATCACGATGGCCTTAGTGTGAGGAGAATCCTGCAGTAGTTAAAGTCACTTTAATTTCAAGGACAGGTTTAAAGGAGTGTGGGTTAGTGTGAGTAAGTGTGTGAGTGCAGTGAGCATGTGTGTGTGTGTGTGTATGTGTGCACATGAATACAAAGAATCTGTCAAGTTCATCTTTAGCATTGAGAAAAATGACTGAAAACAACACATGCCATCAGTTTCCCCCTTTGCTTCCTAGATTTTTCTGTCTCCTTGTCAGTTTCAAGACATACAAAGGTAAATAAGTAAAATGAAGTAGATCACAACTCTTTCCTTCTGCATTGGAGACACATCCCTCAGTCTTTTCCTCAGCCAGGTAGTCCCATATATTCCGTTTTCCTGTTTGCCTTTCTTCTCAGAGGTGAGACAAACTGCCCCAAAACGACTGAAGGCTCCGCCCATATTTGTTGATTTCTTGCCTCGCGGTACCTTGGACAGCTTTTCCCTCTAAGTCTGTTTTTGGACCCAGATGGACATGAGTCACCCATCAGCTGACCACTCTGACAAGACTGAGTGATCATCCACGCCCCTCCTTCTCTCCTCAGTTACCACACAGAGCTTTCCCACTCTACAATAATTCAACCACATTTCATCCCGGGGAGAAAACTGTAAGCTGGGGGACCAGGGCAGGAGCAGGCTGATCCTCTCATGGGGCCAGAGGAAAAAAAAAAAAACAGTAATGTCTTGCCAGATGTCTCCCTCTGAACCCTGCTTTCCACAGAAGACACTGGTTTCCTTCCAACACCTGAGAGACCCCAAAACTCCAATAACCTCACATCCCTTCCCTACTTCTCCAGCCTGAGGGGTCTCCCCAAGCTAATGGAGGCCCTGGGTTTGGAAGGCCCAGAATTCATTTTGTCTATTTATTGTCTATGTTTTCTTTTAGTAGCAAAAGAGACAAAACCCCAGGAGGCCAGTTTTTTCAGGGCCCCGCAGGGTGGTCTATTTATTTCTGTTCCCAGACTGAGTGACATGGGCCTTTCCTCCTCCTTCCACAGTGAGGACATTCTAATAACATCCACCCTCCCTCCCATCAAGCTGTGGTGACTGCTCATGTCTATGGCCCTTGTTCCAAAATCCAGGTGGCATAATATGACATTCAGAAATTCTTGGCGCTCTTCCTTGTGCTCCAAATGTTTCAAATATCACAGAAGGAAGGAAGCAGGAGAGAGGTTCGATTCGAAAGTCAAGTTGCTCTCCGACGACGGCCTGTGCTGTGCACAGCTTAGCCTTCTTCAGCTGTAAAAACTGCGTCCTTGAGTCTCCTCTCTCCTTCTCAATCTTCCGGTCGGTGTTGTGGTTGAAATGTGAAATGTCCTCCACAAGCTCCTGTTTGAACACTTGCTCTCCAGCTAGTGACGATGCACAGGGAGGCTGTGGAATCCTTAGCAAGTGGGGCCCACGTCAGAGCAAGTGGCTCCCCATGGGGGTGAGCCTTGAGGCTCCCGGCCCAGCCAACTCTGCCCTAGCTCTCTTTGCTCCCTTGTCCACTGAGAAGTGTGACACATTGTACCACAAACTCCCCACACTATGTTAACTTTCCCACCATGATAGACTACACCCCCTTAAATCCTAGCTCAAGATACAGCTCTCCTCTGGAACTGTTTCTGCCAGGCGAATGCATCTCCATCATAGTAGTGAGGAAAGTGGCTACAGGCTTCCACCCTCCACTCAGCAGCCTTACATGGATTCTCAGAATGACCAGGCCAGCATGGGAATGGTGTCTATTTTCAGGTCCCACCCTGCAGAACTCCATTTGGGAGACATAGGAACTCAAGGATCTGAATTTGTCACTGCAGATCAGTTGGTTCTGAATAGAGAATTAAGTATAAGACCACATAAGCTCGCTGCCTAGGTCAACCTGGCATTTTCTAAAATCCTGAATGCTTTTTTAAAGCATTGCCAGATGGATCCTTTCAGTTCTTTCAGATTAACTCCTCAAGGTTAGGGGCTGTCTCCAGTCTTTTAGTATATCTTAATACCTTATTAAAGCAAACAATATATTTTGGGCTTGTATAATTGCTTTTTTTCCCCCAATTCAGTAGCAATTCTATTATCCATATTATGTAACTAAGGATGTAAGACAAGAGAGGCTCTGGGCCCCAGGAACTCACAGGCACATTAAAAAGTCAACAACTGTGGGATGCAGAAAAGTCACAATTACAAAGATAGACACCGGTTGCTTTGTAAGAACCCAACAGGAGCTTTCCTTGAGACAATAGTGGGAAAGCTCTTCAAGAAGATGGAATCACAAAAAGACTCTTGATAAGGAGGGAGATTAACCACTCCAAGAGATAAAAGAGGCAACAGCTAAGGCTCAAGGTAGAGTAGGCGCAAACTGTAGTTGTTGCTTGAATTTCCAATGGTCTTATAATAAAAATCCTGGAGCCAGATATTGGGGTGAATGCTGAAAGATCAGAGCGACAAAGGAACAAGCCACTGCCACGTCTCACCTCACTGGCTCCACACATCATCTGACTGAATGTCTCTGAGTCCTCACCCGAAAGGCTCCAGCCAAAAAAGCCTCCAGCTGAAGGGGACGCTTCGGCCAAAGAGCCTTTAGTTCCTGTCTCCTCACGTCTTACATTCCTTTCCTCTACCTGCCATGTCACTTCCTGTCTCAACCTCTCCAGTGCAGGGATTAAAGGCGTGTGGGCTTCCCAAGCAAAGGCATGAGATCTCCAGTGCTGAGATTAAAGGCTTGTGACTCCCAAGTGCTGGGATTAAAGGTGTGTGCCACCACTGCCTGGCTCTGTTTCTCTCCTAGACTGAGTCAATCTCATGTAGTTCAGAGTAGCTTTGAACTCACAGAGATCCAGACAGATCTCTGCCTCCCAAATGCTAGGATTAAAGGCGTTTGCCACCACTGCCTGGCCTCTATGTTTAGTCTAGTGGCTTGTTCTGTTCTCTGATGTTTAGGCAAATTTTATTAGTGTACACAATATATCACCACAGTAAAAGCGTAATCAAGCTTTTATGAGGAGATAATATGTTCCAAGTTGGGGCTCATGAGACAGAACAACATGTCAGTTTGTTCCAGCTATGATGGTAACATCCCACATGACCAACTGACTTAGAAACAATAGAAATGTATACCTTGAAGTTCTGGATGCTGGAGGTCCCAGATTGAAGAGTCAGGGAAATATTGTTTCCGGCTTGGGCCATTTCTTCATCCACACCCAGTAAGCTTGCTGCTGTGTCCTCCTATGGTGGAAGGAAGGAGAAAGTTCTCTGAGGTTTCATTTATAGGATCTTAGTCTAATTCATGAGAAATCAGACCTCATGACTTAGCCAATTCCCAAAGGTTACTTTGGCTTTAGTGGTGAAGATTTTAGCATAGAAATTTGAGGAGAGGGACCCAAACGTGTAGCCCATTTTGTCTATAGCCCAAAAGTCAATCATGCGAAGGAGTCTATGAAAGTCACTCATTAATTATGAGGCACTATTGGAAAGTTTTGGTGTATTCAGAGATTAACTGGATCAGGGAAAGACGTCCATTGATTACCATATGTCACCACAAACATGAAACTCAACACCACCAAAGGTCTGAGACTGTATGCCTCTGTGTACTTTTAATTTGTTAAGCAAAACCTCAACATCTCTGTTGCACCTGGAAATTGCCATCAACCCCAATGGGACACCACAGCTGTGGAGGACTGTCCACTGACAGCCTTTTGCCAGCAGAAACAAGGAAGATGTGGCTGGCATGATTCCGTTTGGTTTATTTCCTTGTTTTAGAATGCTTCTTCCTTTTGTGAAATCTGTCCCCTCTTCAAAAGCTGTGAACCTCCTGCTGGATTCTGTAAGTCATCTTAGGACAAGGCCTATCTGGCTTCCAGTCCAGTTAGCTGTAGCCTTTGATGGCCTGAAGACCTAGCACCTCAGACTCCAGCTGCCTGGAGTCCCAGCCTCCAGACCCTGTTTTCCAATCCTGGGAATTAGAGCCCAGAGCTGCTACGTGGTTGCCTAAATCTACACAGTGACTCAACACACCTTTTTCTGCTAAGCATTCTGATCATTTAAACAAGAGTAGCTGATGAGATTCCCCCCCCCTTCCCTGATGGCCTGAAAATTATGCCACTTTGGCTTCCGGACATTTTCCCCATCTAATAGGTGAGAGACTGTATAACTGACCTGGGTCACACAGTAATGACAAATCAGAACAGAATGTGAACCAATGATAGGATAAAAGAACTGTTTCTAACCACGGCATGGTACCACTCCCCATGGCATTAACCGGTTCAGCGGCCTCTGGTGAATAAAATAAGGACTTAAAGGTGTGATGGTCAATAGGACCCAGAACTGGAGGGAGGTGACAGTCTTGAATACTGGTTAGGATCTTCAGATTTGGCATCTGAGAGGGTGGAGGTGGCCTTTAAGAGAGGCTACTGGGATGCTGAAGACGTCGGTCAGTGGGTAGAGCCCTTGCCTTCAGTGTGTGAGGACCTGAGTTCAGCTCCCCAGAACCCATGTTAAAAGCCAGACCCAGTACCACGCATTTGTGGTCTCAACAAGGGGCAGGACAGGAGGTGGAGACAAAGCAATCTCTGGTGCTTGCTATCCAGCTAGCCCAGTCCACCTGGAGGGAGGCCAGTCTCCCTGTCTCGAACAAAAGGCATGTATGTGTGTGCATATGCATGTACAGACCCACAAATGTGCACATACACGAGTATGTATGCACACATACGTGTTCCCATGTGTGCATGCACACACACACAAGTTTACCAAAGGGGATGGTGGAATCCTTTGTCCTCAAGTAGGTTGGTGGTCCTCAGGTAGAGGGCAGGCTGGGTTCCTGTTTGTACAAGTATTGTTCTTATCATATCTCGGACAATGAGTGTTCACTCAGGAATACTTCCAGGGAAGGTGACCACCTGTTCCCACCTCCCAGGCTCCCGTGTCAGGCTTCCTACCACACCCCCACCCTCACATACAGCCCCGTTATTGAGCAAAGGAGGAAATCAACATTGCCGCTCCTTGGAGTGACTGAAGAAGTGGTCTCTGCCCTCAAGAGATTTCAGAGAGAAGAAATGTTGAAGACAGACACCCCTCCCCCCCCCAAAAAATTTCTCACTTTATAACTTTGCACAGGGGCCAGAGCAAGGAGTGGAAGGGAAATGCTTTCATTGGCTACAGACGCCACATCAGAAACAAGTGAAGCTTGAGAACGTGGAACCACATGAAGAGACAACCTCAACCTCAAGCAGGATCCCAGCACTTGACAAGTGCCCGGGTAGAACCGAAGTCTCCCGGATGAAAACAAGCAGTGTTCTTTGCAGTCAAAATCACCTTAAAAAGAAACTCATAAACCCCAAAAAACAAAGCCCATTTACTACACTTGATCTTAGCCAAAATTACACGGCTACCCTGCCACACTGCCTTCCTCCACTCACCAGCACAGGTTCCGAAAGCAGGGAGCCGTCCTTGATGCCGTCTTTGGGTTGGAGGACCCAGGCCCAGATGAGCAGAGAGGTAGCATGGGACTTAACACCTGCTAAGTGTTAAGTCTGCGTCTGGCCCGAGGGAGGGACCCTGGAGGCCAAGCTCTCTCTAGGCTCCAAAAGGCTGCAGATTGTGACTCAGATTCCACCAAGAGGCACTGGCATCTCTTACCAGAGCAAGATTTGATACTAGGCCTAAGGGGTTGTCTGTGTGTTTCTTTCTGACTGTCAAGAGACCTCCCTTGGAGAGAGGTCCCTGCCCTCGCAAAGGAGAGAACGACACTGGCGCAGCCCCAGCTGCTGGCAGCAGAAAGTTAAAGAAAAGCATCAGAAACCAGGCAGCCTGATGCCAGGCAGAGGCCAGGAGCCCGGCTCATGGGCCTCGTGGAAGCCAGCCTCAGAGAGCCGGCACAAGCGGAGACGGCGTTTCAGAGTCGCTTACACTTGGCTCTCAAAGGCTTTTTGGTGCTTGTGTTTCATTGTGGGTGTGGCTGGCATTTCTGTAATTCACAACACATGGGGCCTCCGTGTAAGAACCCAAATCAGTAGGAGGTGGGGAGCCGTCCAGCTTCTCGTATCTAGCCTATCCAATTAGCCCTCAACTCCACCAGGGCAGGGGTGGAGGCGGGAGAATGGCTGGATTCCCGGCTGATGAGAGCGGCGCGGGCGCCTGCTCAAAAGAAATAGTCCTCTCTAAGCTGGGGGCCCACGCTAGTCCTGCCAGGGAAGGACAGGAGCAAGGGGACAGATGAACTCAGATGGCCTCCTTTCTCTTCCAAGATTGGGCCAAGATAGAAGTGTGGCTGGAGAGCCAGGAGAATCTGATGAGCCCCAAGGACGCCCACACCGTGTGAGCTCACAGGGGTCCTTCCGTGTGGGTAGTGCGCCGAGGAGTCAATATAGCCCAGGTACCCCTAAATGCCATGGAGACCAAAGAAAGGAGGAGCCCACCTTTTAGAAATGAGCTCGGCTTGCTCTTCAGGGATACGAAGAGGAGAGCTCTTTCCACATGGATCCAAGTATGGAGGCAGCTGGAGTGTGGAACGGAACGGCACAGATCCTATAGATTTTTCTGCTCACTCCTGGGAAGTTCTGGGTTCACAGTGTCAGCCCATGCCACAAAGGTGACATGCGTGTGTAGGTGCTGTGTTAAAGAGGGGAAAAAGCAAAATGTTGCGGCCTGAGAACACAGCCACCTAGAGATGGGCTAGCTAACTACTCCTCAGAAGAGGCTTCTCAAGCCTAGTCTTGTACAGGTGACAGAGCAGATAAGCCACCCCGTGCCCACATTAGGCTAAAAATGGAGGGAACATTTGTTTTATGTATTAAAGGAACCTGGGGCTGGCATAATCAGAAGTCAGGGTACTTGAATTTGATCTTTGGAGCCCATGTAAAGGTCAGATGACAGAACCAGCTCCACAAAGTTGTCCTCAGACCTCCACAGGCTCACCTTAGCATGGGTACCCCCTCATACACATATGTTATGCACACACGTAAATAATTCTTTAAAGGAACCTATATGTTCTTAAAGAACCTGTGTCCTTTACATATGTCAGCTTAATAAGGGCCTTTCCCAGTAAAGAATGATGACCATTATGACCTTTATCCTTTTAAAAGATGAGATAAGGCCAGCAGGATGTCCCACGGGCTGCAAGTAATTGCCATATGAGCCTGATACCTTGATTTCGAACCTGGATCACACAGTAGAGAGAGAGAAGCAATTCCTGCAAGCTGTGCTCTCATCTCCACACATGCAGACAGACACAGGAATGCACAGGAACACACACACACACACACACACACACACACACACACGCACACACGCACGCACGCACGCACGCACACGCACACGCACACGCACACTCACACTCACATACATGTGCACGCACACCAGTTTTTAACCGAGAGAAAATGAGAGTGGGTATTGTGTATTAACAAACTTACTTGGCAAGACCAACCAACCTATAATCCCATCTTTCAGTAAATGATTTTTTTTCCAGCTTTGTCTCTAAAATTAGTGTTTAGAACTTATGACATGAATTGGCAACATGATTTCTTTCAAATTTTGAGGCTTTTGGATGAATGTGGCTTTTTATTAAGTCAACACTGACAGGTTACAGAAAAAGGCTGATGTTTTAGATGAATTATGTGCTGGCATCCATCCACATTCTTTCTTCTGAGTCCAGTCATTAGACTCACAATATATTTGTGTGGTAGATAGGAATTAACCTGATACTTTCTCAAAAGAGGAACAGGAGCTTTCCAGTTTGAGCAAAACCATATGGCCGTGGGGTCAGGATTCAACTGAAGGCTGCCTCACTTGGAAGCCTGTGTCTCCCGTACCACGTCCTCAGCTGTCACTGGCAGTATCGAGTTTACATCCCCAGACATAAAGACACTGGATCCATCATCTTCATCCACCCTCACATTCCGCCAGGAAGAAGGAGCCACGGGGAGCCTAAGGGACTTGCCAAAGGTTTACTGGGTAAACTTGGTGATGGAATCAGGGACACTGATGGAATCAGCCGCTCTGCTCTCAGCCCTGTGTATTCTCTACTGATATCACAGCCTCTGCATTGCCTTTCTACCCAAGCACCAGTCACAGACAGGGAGAGACGGCCACCTGAGCACCACCCATACCCTCGATGAGAACAACAGACACCTCTTTGGAGCCTCCCAGCTCTGGATGTGACTCCCAGGCTGCGGATGAGGCTCGGCCCCTCAGGACTGCTGGGGAACAGGCTGAGAGCTGAACTCCTCCTTTGGCCTTTGCTGTGGTGTCTGTTCAGGCCATGCCTAGAGGGAGGGGGTACCTGAGGACAAAGGGGCATTGATTGTGCCTGAGAGAGGGAGGGAGGGAGGGAGGGAGGGAAGGAAGGAAGGAAAGTAGGAAAGACTACATACACTGGCAAATCTCTTCCTCTCCTTAGCCTGCTGCTACACCCAGCTGTCTCAGGACAAATCACAGGACCCGCTTGAAGAGGCTGGAGGCCTACTGTAGATGACAGGAGGCCTGAGCTGATTGATGGAGTTATTAGACTCCCCCAAAGGACGGGAACTTCATTTCGCCTGCATTGTGTCACTTGATACAATGCCCCTGAGTGTAGAGATGCTGCCTTTTGACATTTCCCTTTAATTCCCCTCAAATGAGGACATTTAAAGAGAGCCCAATAACATATTCTTTTTTCTGAAAGGAGCCTCCACCCTTCTCTCTCAGAGGAGGAACAGATTCATTTGTGTCTAAGGGGGTCTCCAAGGAAGCGTCTGGAGGAGCAGAGTCTGATTTAATAGCATCTTGTCTCTGGTGAATCAGGCCTTCGTGTTACACTGTGGCTTTATTCTCTGGCCCTTTGACACAGCCAGCTGCCTTCACATTCCAGCTCAGACATGGGCTGCCTTCAGGCTGTGACAGGCACGAGAGCTTCCAAAGTCTGGATCACTCAAGTTAGCCTGTGAGCGTCTGTGAGCCCAGAGCTGCCGACCACCGACCTTTGCTCCCTCTCAGACTCGCATTCAGGTGTAAGCAGCTCCAAGTACCAACATGGTGTCTACTGGAGTCGCCTGCCTCCCACAGGCCCACATAAATGACTTCACAGCAGAGCATTCGGTTCCTATCTTACTCAGGTTCATCCTGTGAGCAACACAGCAGACTTGAGGAAGTGACGTCACGCCCCAGGGCTCTGCTCTGAAGCTGAAGGTGCACACTAAGACGGTGCATGCACTGCTCACTTCGGGCAGGAAGCCTCTCCTGGCCCACCTGTTAAGCTATTTAAACAGTAGATAGCTGGGCCAGGTTTCTTCAGTGGGATTTTAAACTTGATGTTCCAAAGGTTAAAGGGGGCCTTTTGTGGATTCTGCCCTCAGCCCAAAAGGTTTCAAAAGGAGTGGAGATGAGTCTCCCCTAAGTGTCTTGAGACTGAGTTCTGGTACAAAGCACAACTATCAAGGGGAGACATTGTGCTGAGCAGGTTTCCATGTGGCCAGTGAAGCAAAGCTGCTTAGCACCAGTCTCCAGGGTTCTTTGCTGAGTGCTCTGGCCCTGAGTGTGTTCACGGGCTCCTTCTCTGCTCCTGTGTAAGAGTGCTTTATAAGCGGACTATCTGGGGCACTGTCGGTGAGTGACAGCTCTGGGAACTCTCCATGTGGCGCTGAAGAGCATGCAAAATCACTTTACTTTTAAGACAAAGGACATCAGTTTCCTGTCGTTTTCTTTGCCATCTCGATTCCCCTTCCCTTTCCAGCTGACTTTCCTTCCCCTCCCCTTCCTCTTTCCCCGTGGCACAAAATAAAATGCTCAGAAAATGAAAGGCACAGCTGCCCCTTCTTCCCATTAAAACAATCAAGAATGATGGCGAACTTAATATATTTGATTAGAGAAACTCCAATTTGGTGCACTTGAATCAGCTGCCTTTGTCTCCAGCTCCTGATGGCCCAGTTTCCAGTGGAATGTCCTCACTGTCCACTGCCAGCTCCCTCAGGCTGGGAGAACGTTCAGCATTTGCCTGGCATGCTCAGCCACAGGGTAGCTGTGCCGTGGAAGATGCCAGGCCCACTTTGTCCTAATCAGAGGGAGTGCCACTTCATTAAATCATGGTCACTTGCTGGTGACCCTCAGAGTTGTACCCTGAGGAGAGGGGATGCTATAATCCTCTTTAGCCATGGTAATTTTTCATAGATTTTATTATTTTCCTTGGTTGGTATTCAGCACTGATATTCAGGCCTGGCTCCTGTACAAACAACCCCTTATAGACTCCAGTGTTCAAGTTGTGCAGATGAAATCTGGAGAAAAATAATTGCATTTGCATATGGAGTCTTGTTCATTAGAAGCAAATAGAAACTCAAAGGAAGTGGAAAAAGTGTCATCATTTCCCTGGAGCAGGAAGAGAGGCTGCAATGATGTCCAGGAAGCTCCTGCTTGCAGAATAGTTGAAAGGTGCTTCTGGGGGAATTGGGGGGAGGCAGGGGGCAGGGTACAGGCTTGGAGAATGTTCCTTATTCCCCCTGAAAATACATGGCGATTTTGTGCTATCACTATATAGACTAGATAAATGTCTGCTCTGTGGATAATAGATGAATTAAAGATAAATTGCTATCACAGGCATATCAGAATTCATGGGGATTTCCTTGGATATACTTCTACTCATGGCGCTGCCTATATCATACTGAACGGAGATGGAGTAGGCTACAAAGACCGATAAACTCATTGCCTGCACTTTAAGGAAGGCAAAAGGCCACCCCTCTCTTGGTGTCCACTCCACATTGCCACCTCGCTTAGTCCACGCCCAACAGCTTGTCTACCCAGACTCTGTGGCAAGAAACCAAACCCAAGGGGTCATAGTCAGGTTTGAAAGAGCACTCAGGCTTCTGGGCCGAAGCACCCATGTCCAGTCT